GCCAAGCTTTGTGAGTGTAAAGAAGGCTGTGCCACTGCACTCGTCAAACATGTTAGAATGCGGAACGCCGGCATCCGGCGTTTGGATCTTGCGTTCGAAAGCGTTCGACGAGTGCAGTGGAGACTAAAGCGGCTAGCTTTGCTGCTTTAGGCCTACCCACTAATCACTCGAACCAGAGCTCCGCGTTCTGAATTCCCCCCGCGCTCTCGTGTCGTTCTCTCTCTCTCTCTCTCAGATTGTCGATGCATTGTTAAAACTTGATTGAAAAAAAAAATGTTTGCACGTAGACAACTATGCCCCTGGGGACGAAGCAATTACGGCATTTTGTCCGGAGAGAACACAGGTTTTAGACTAAACGCGCACTCTAATTGTTAAATTCGTCTCGCAGAAATAGTTCACTCGAAGATTGAAACAAATTGTCGTTTGCTCCATCATAATTTTGCTTCCTAATTTAGCGTGTTTTAATTAAATTGTTTGCAGTTTTCTATAAAAGTCTGGCTTTTCGAAATATTTTGTTTTACTTGAAGAGTAGAATGGGTAGCCTAAAAGCCGCTGCAGACAGTTTGTGCACGACCAGTGTGGCCGGTTTCTGTCATACAAGGAAGAAACGTGCCTAGGCAGCGCCTACATACTGTCTTTTGTATGCCGTATTAGCAGTGTGATTACGGCTTTATAGCGTAAATGGCACGCACTATGCGGAGGGAGTGTCTAAAGGCCTGAGCACACTAGCGTGAACGGCGCCGCCGGTCGGTGCCGCCGGGCGGCACCGCCGTCCGGCGTCCCAACGCGTCCACATTGACTCCGGAAGTGTGACGTCATGGGTCCAAACAAACCGTTACTAGGGTCATTCTTGCTCGCAAACGCTTAGAGCGCCGAGGGAACGGGCGACCGAAGGCGAAAGAGAGCGGGTGGCGAGGAGCGCGATCACATGACCCGCAGCGCAATCGCGATTGGCCGAACGCCATGGGCTTGAACCGCGAGTGTCATTACCGAAAGTGCGAGGGTATCACTGCTGTACTCGACCTCACTCGGGGCCAAAGACACCCGCAATAAACGCGCGCATGCTCCGTTCGTTTTTGCAAACACCACACTCGCCCAGTACAAGCAAGCCCCCCAGTACAGATTACGATGTAAAACGGGAGGACCTGTATTTTTCCGACGTTCGCAGCGTCCTTGGACATTGACAAACCCAATCACCGAATACTTTCTTTTTTGCTGCTTTCAGTCGACCTCCAAAAACCTCGAACCACCTTACAAGAACCCCTGCCAGAACGATTGGCCCGAGGAGCTCAAGAAGTACGTCGTTCCGGGAGTCGTGTATACCAAACGAGTGCGTACGGCGTCTTTTGAAGTACATGTCGTATCGGCGCTCGAAAAAGAAAATAGAGTACAGTGCGATGCTTGTAGAGACCTCATGAAAGTCTAAAGTATGAGCTACAAGTATGGCGGTGCTCTAGGTGCTTTAACTTTCTCTCTGAGCAAGCTTGCGGTTCTTAAAGCGAGCTTAAAGGGACACTGACACCCCCCAAAAAATTTTTTTAATTTTTTGCCAGGCGCTTTATTGTGGTGTCGGAGGACTACCCAATTAATATTTTGCAACAGATTAGCGTATTTTTTTTAATAAAGCCAAAAGACGCAACTGCTCGAAACCGAAACCGAAACCCAACGGAGGTCGGAGAAGTGGAGAGAAGAGAGTGACTGGCGGAAGTCACGTGGCTACACCCGACCGTGCGTTTTTTTTTTTTTTTCTCCTCTCTGTAGCAGACGATGCGGCGTGCGATTCTTTTGCAGTTATGTTTGTTCCGCTCGTTGTTCTGTACTCAAGATGAGTTGTTTTGCACATTGAAGAGTGTGAGATGAGTAGTGAGTGCCCGTGGTGAATTTCCATGATCGGCTCCGAAAAGAATACACCCAAGATGTTGCGTGAAGAGCTGGCTCACATGTCCTGCATCCGAAAAAAAGTGGCATTGTGCGACCGAGTTTCCGAAAGATCAGCGGGATCGGGACCAATGGCTGGCTGCAATTCCTGTAGAACATATACGGGCACCTCGGAAAGCGGACGCTACCTGATTTATATGCTCCTTGCTTTTTGTGGAGAGTGATTACATTGAGTTCGCAGGTGTCAAAACGGAAATCCCATACCATTTAATTCAGCGAAGTATCGTCCACAACATTTGTTTGTTATTTTTTTGTTTGTTTCTGCAGTGATGATTGTAAAAAAAAAAAGAGAAAAAGGTATGTAAACATCAGAAAATGTTTGAAAAAAAAAAAAAAACGTTTCACGGGGGATCGAACCCGGTCCTACCGCGTGTGACCCGGAGGTCTTTGCCACTGAGCTACTGGGGCACCTCTTTTCTGGTGGATCTCTCTCCTTAGTAATAGTTCAGCCGGTAAACTGTAAGCAAAAAAGCGCCGAAAAAATACAGGGACAGAGACGAAGGGAAACAGGACAAGGCGCACTCTCAACTGATGTTTATTGAAAAATTCACACGTTATATAGCCACAAAAAAAAAAAAAAAAAATCTTTTCTTTTCTATTTACTCAGCCCGCGTTTCAAAAATTCAAACTCATTTGTAGATAAGGATACCGACGTGTCACTTATACAATTCTTGTCTCTGGTCCTAATTGCATACGCCTCGTGTAATTCCCGCGACACTTTATCTTTGTATCTAGCCAAAATCTTGGTGTCATTGAAGGCCGGGGTGCAAGAGCATCTATTGCAATGAATTGCAAGGTGCCCCGAAGGCGTCGTTCTTGTAGAGGCAGCGTGCTCTCGGGTGCGATCATTAACGCACCTGCCCGTCTGGCCCACGTATGTCATCCCACACGTCATGGGGATTTCATAGACGACGCCAGTGGCACATTCATATATAACGTGTGAATTTTTCAATAAACATCAGTTGAGAGTGCGCCTTGTCAATTTTTGTGTGGCTATATAACGTGTGAATTTTTCAATAAACATCAGTTGAGAGTGCGCCTTGTCCTGTTTCCCTTCGTCTCTGTCCCTGTATTTTTTCGGCGCTTTTTTGCTTGCAATGAACCAACTGGCCCAAATCTCCACTTTACTGCGGTAAACTGTAAGTTGGAAAGTTTGCTGTCGATTTTTCTCTAGCAAAAGCACTCCCGGGTCAAAGACGGGAAGCACCACGCTTTGGGGACATTCGCACCTAGTAAAGAAATCGTACGCGTGCATATTCAACTCGAAGTAGACACGTCGTGCTTGACGTTTGCGCGAGCGATGTCTTCAGCCACGAGAAGGGAGCGACGGCTCGGCGACGTCTTCGTGCAAATAGGCTTGGTGGCCGGGCGTGTCGTACGGGATGAATACCAATTCTTTTGATCAGTCCCAAATTTCTCTTTTAACGGTAGACAGAATTCGCCGGTACCACGAACGACAGTTCTGAAATAGAGGTCCCACGCCCGTCGTCCGCTGCCATCGCCGTCCCCGCGAGTCCCACGAACGCGAAACGACGAAAGCACAGAATGCTTCCGGTTGTCTGTGGAACTTTTTTTTTCAATCAACGTATTTACAGCTTTTTAGAAGCCACAAAAAATGGGTTTCATATTTTTTTTCTGTTTTTAATATTGAGTGTGTGCCTTCAGTGACCCACGACTTTGATTAAATTTGGTGGTCGCATCGATACCTTAGAAAACGGCCCGTGACCGCGAAAAAGAGAGTGAGCGAGACTCGAACCGGCCAGTTCTTGATCGGCGGTTTTCGGGCGGAAAGAAACCGAATTTCGAGCCGCAAATTCTGTTCTGGGTAGTTGAGCTCTCATATGTCACGTACAACTAAAAACCTCGGCGAGCATAAATACCCTGTCAGTGTCCCTTTAAGTTTGTTTCTGAACCATGTTGGGCAACATTTTATGACGCAAATGGTTGAATATTGATACTGCACCTGGGACGCACATTCACCTGTTGTGTTTAGCGTACTAACTAGCCCATATATTCCGGCATGTCACGTTGTCGGATGCCGCACTGGCGTGTTGCAGACATCCACGAGCTGCAAGTACTTTGTGGTTGCTGAAGGCTGATACGCACATTCGCGTTTGAACGCGTTTGAGCGCGTTGCAGCGTCCTTGCGGTCAGGAGCGGTCACTTGCGGTACAACGCGCGCTGCCCCGCCGCTCTCGGTAGCGCGACGCAAGGGAGTGGAGTTACCATGGCAGAACAGCACGCGACAATCCAGCACGGTCAAAACAGCACTCATCAAAACAGCACCGCGTCAAAACAAAACAAAACAGTATACGCGTAAATGCATGTTGTCTTTTCGCTGTAGCACACACTATTAGCAGCTCGCGCCTAAATTAGGTACTTGCTGCTAAAGTATACAGCGGAACACGTATATTACCGCTGCATTTTATTATCTAACGTTATATGACTTTTTATTAAAATCTGCGCCCGTTATATTTTATCTGAATACTTGTTGCTTTTCGTACATGCCCAGTAATACAAACTGTTTCCACAGCAACCCGATGAAGCTAAACGTCTTGTCGTTTTTTTAATGGCTGATTTGTTTACGTTTTATATTGATACAAGTGTGGCACCCCATTTATCCAAAGGGAGATTGAAGATTATAATTGACGAGTTTAGTGGAACTAATAAAAAAATAGTTTATTTGACATGCTTGCGCTTTGAAGACGGGGACATAGGAGGGACAGACACCACAGAGCGCTAGCGCTCCGTGGTGTCTATTCTTCCTACGTCCCCGTCTTCAAAGCGCAATTATGTTTTCTAACGTACCATACCAACTTGCCGAACAATCAGCACTTATCTGACATGCACTCACATTTGCACGTAGCTTACATGTAGAAAGAGAAGCGACAGCCCAAAGGAGTATCAATGAGGGGCTGTGTCACACTGCGAAAGGAAGTTGCTCTAGTCTTTGCGAGGTTTTCACGTATGGCTTTGGACCCGATAGGGTGCAACCTCTTTGGCCGTCAATCGTCATCTGCTGCGTGAGGCTTGGCTCAGTCTTCAAAGCCTCGGGTCAGGGTGTTGAAATGCGAGCGAAGACTGAACACTCCGGTGCCGGCTTTTACGTCGTTGTGTTAACGGCAATGTACATGTTCAAGACCGAGCAGAGCCTCACCCAGCGGAAGATGATCGGCGGCCGAAGGGGCTGCCCCCCGCCGTGTTTAAAGCAATACGCGATAATCTCGCAAAGACTGCGGAACGTCCTGTCCCTGTATGACACAGATCCCCTGATTGACACTCTTTTTTGCTGTCGCTTTTATTACTGCATGTGAGCTGAATGTAAAACAAGCATATATGTCAAATAAACTCGTTCTTTAGCAGTTCTCCTAAACTCGTGAATGATGATCTTCATTCGTCAATTGAATTGACAGCAGGTAATGCCATATACCTTTAAGTCATAAAATGTCATGGCGATATACATGTTCTGCTTAACACATTAAAATCAAGTATTTAATTTATGCGCGTTCTGCCAATATTGTGTCCTATCAGCGAAAAAGCTGCATGAATTTAGGTGCGTGTTGATTTGTCACTGTGCTGTTTTGTCGCGTGCTGTTTTGACGCGTGTTATTTTGTCGCTGTACTGTCTTGATTCGGTCTTGTCTTGACGCGAGCTGTCTTGACAGTGCTGTTTTTGGGGTGCGCTGTTTTTCCGCGTTCTCGGTGTAGAGACTCGCTAAACGTTCCAAAGCGTTGCGGTCAGTGCGCCCCATCACAAGTCCGGAATGCAGATGAGGGTCTTGTGTTCGCTAGCGCCACTGGACAATGCGTATCCAGTTCTCTCTTCGCGGAACCTGCTTTTTCGTTTTGGGGAGCGGTGGGGATTGCGCGCGCAAGTTTTTCAAAGGCTACGATGGTTCAAGACGGACAGAATGTGACGAAAACCGGCGTAATTGTCCCAAGATCGACCACTTCAATGCAGTGGCCGGGCCCCGCCATGTTGCCGTGAATTTCGCTTGCTATTGGTGAACCGCTAGCGACGATATCGCTTTCTTATTGGCTCTTGATAGTCTCTGACTACGTGCCAACGTAACTGTGTGCACAAGCTTGGCGCAAGCGCTCTTCACAATGCTACGCGCCCGCTTGCCGCTGCGGAACGCATTGCGCTCCGTAGCGGCAAGCCTTGACGGCGGTCCAGGCTTTCCAACGCCACTGTTATTGTATCGGGGCTTTGCGCAAAACATTTCCGCACATCGTTGCAGGGTCGCCTTTCCGCATCAAACCGCATCGAAATCAAACGAAAACGTGAATGAAAGCCGAGTCTTATACTCTTTGACGCTAAGAGTGTCGTGCAACGATATTAGACAGGAATGTTTCTCACTTTATACCAGCAAGCTGGCACTATACTTCATT